TGACACTCCTAATTGAGATTGTAGATAGTGTCAATGGTCCATTTGAGAGATAGGTGGTTTCTTGCACAGACCGATCGTTTCATGTCTTTACACATCAATGTATCGTCACGAGCCGCAGGGTTTAATTTGGATTTGTCTGTGCATGTTTTTTTTACTCTCATAGATTTTGTTACCATTGCCATGCATTATACGACTGATAGACTGCAACGGTTGGAGTTAAAAAGCATCATTTGTGTTCTACTGAAGAAACAAAGTCACCTACATCTTGGATGCCCTGGGGGTAAGCAGATAAACATTAAATTTTCATTTTTGGGTGAACTATCCCTTTAACGTTAACACAACATTCTTAGAACACAATATTTTTGTTAGATAGGTAAAGATTTCCTTCCCTACTGTAACTTGATTAAAAGTCTTAAAGCACCTTGGGAGACATGCCACTCACTTTAATAAGGACAGAAATTGTACATACAAGTCAAAATGAGGCAAACTAATAAAGGTCAAGGGTGTGCGAGAGAAAAGTGGTCACTGGATAACTGTTAAGGTTGGAAAGGTCGTCCATGGCCATTTGGCTGTTTTTGCTGTAAATTGCTTTCTCTACTGAGAATAAGACATGCAGAGTCCCCACATAACCGTCCACTGAGGACACAGTGTTGGAGTACTGCCATTTTTGCAATGCTGATCATTTGTATTACAAAGTGATAATGTTTATGTCCCACAATAAGGTGGCGATTTAAAGCCATTAAAGAGAGCTGATTACAGTTTTTCTGAACTAAAGTGAAGACACAGCACAAGCAATCAATTCTTGTCATTATAGCTTTAATGCTATTTGTTACCACAAACTGTTAGATCAATACAAATGAAGAGACTTCCTGGCATATTACAGTATATACAACCCATAATGTGAAATTTCTTCCCAGCAAGGATTCACTTCAAGGTGGGCTGAAATTAAATCTTTGTGTTTTTTAAAAATATAGAGGAGCATTCATAATATTATATGGGAGTAATGCTGTTTTTTGTTTGTTTTTTTTCCTTTCCAGGTCAACCGCAGTCAGCCTCCGTGTTTTATGGACTGAGCATTTTCCTGAAGCTTCATGTCAGGCAATGGCAAGAAAATGGGTGAATAAGGACATCATGTGTAAGAATGACAATGAAATATAACATAATAGTGGTGCAACATATAACAAAGACAATGGCACTAGCAGCTGGGAACAGTGGCAGGTCTCCCCAGACGCTACAGTAAATAATGAGCAATAAATATAACAGGTAATAAAAATAAAGTTATGAATATAATGCTAAAATGAAATATTGCAGGGCACAATGAGTACAGTTCAAAATGATAAATGCACAAGCTGCTGGTTAAACTTGCTCACCAATGGATCCTCTGCAGTGAATGGGTGCCGTCAGAATGAGTCCAAACAGCTGATAAAAACCTCATAATAATCCACAAGCAATCGACACAACTCCAATGAAGCGAAAAGCTGCATGTTTGTAAAAAACAAATCCATCAAGACGTTTTTTAACTTCAAACTTTCCTCTATCCATAATATTGCTTTCTCCATTGAAAAAGTCATCTCATCTGAATCAGATGAGAAATATGCACATATGCACACCTAACCCAAATCCTAATCCTAAGTACCATTTACAAGCAAAAACTGTTCTATATAAATATGTTGGTGGATTTTGATGTTAGAGGACAACAGGGAATGGACTTATGTGTTATTATTATAGATGATGGACTCAAAAAATGGCCAGAAGCAACAGTTTAAAGTTAAAAGCTTTAATGATGGATTTATTTCTCACAAACATGCAGCTTTTCATTTCACAAGACATTAACTGAGGGACTGGAGTCGTGTGGATCACTTGTGGATTGTTGTCATGTTTTTAGCAGCTATTTGAACTGAACTCTCATTCTGATGGCACCTTTTCACTGCAGCAAGTGATGTCATGCTATTTATCCAAATCTGTTCCAATCTTCGATCTTGGATATTAATTTTGTGGTAAGTGGCTGATAATTTAAAGGAGTAGTTCACAAAAAAAAAACATTGCTGAAAATTGATTAACTCTCACATTACATCACTTGCTCACCAATGGATCATCTGCAGTGAATGGGTGCCGTCAGAATGAGTCCAAACAGCTGATAAAAACCTCATAATAATCCACAAGCAATCGACACAACTCCAATGAAGCGAAAAGCTGCATGTTTGTAAAAAACAAATCCATCAAGACGTTTTTTAACTTCAAACTTTCCTCTATCCATAATATTGCTTTCTCCATTGAAAAAGTCATCTCATCTGAATCAGGTGAGAAATATGCACATATGCACACCTAACCCAAATCCTAATCCTAAGTACCATTTACAAGCAAAAACTGTTCTATATAAATATGTTGGTGGATTTTGATGTTAGAGGACAACAGGGAATGGATTTATGTGTTGTTATTATTATAGATGATGGACTCAAAAAATGGCCAGAAGCAACAGTTTAAAGTTAAATGCTTTAATGGTGGATTTACTTCTCACAAACATGCAGCTTTTCATTTCACAAGACATTAATTGAGGGACTGGAGTCGTGTGGATCACTTGTGGATTATTGTCACTTATACTCGGTAACTGCATTAATTACGCCCATCAATCACTCACTGTCACTTCATCCCTCCATCCCTGACCTGTGTGTGTTCCTAAGCTCTGAGAAAATGACTAGACACCTCATTATACAATACAGGTGGACTAGGAACGTCTGATTAATGCCTTTCCATGGGAATCGAGTGGTCAAAGCTCAGCTGGGTTGAGATTCTGACAAGGTATATCCAGCTGTCATCTCTTGACGTGCATCACCATCGACACCTGTGCCAGTGCCAGCCAGAAACCCATTCGGCTTTGGATGTGTGAATGCTGAATCAGATTTGTGGCAGGATTTCACTGCTCTGCTCTATGGGATCAGTTCTGAAATGCTGTAAAAGATTTTGATTTAAAGGCTTTGCATCATGTACTCCCGTAATGTGAACCGTACTAATGTGGTCAGAGCTGTAAATGTTTATAGAGAGGTAAAACATGATTGAAGGATGCATCTAAAAACCCTTGAGGGACATTCAATTTAGAGTATTAACCTGGTTTCTTGATTTACTAGTAGGTTATGTGTTTCTATTTTAACCAAAAAAGTAATAGTTTCTCTGGCTGAATTGAGAGGTTGTTTGCAAAACAAACTCACAATCAATGCAAATTTGGGATCAGAATGTTACAATTCAGGTTAAGAATTATTTGGGGAGAACTTTTGCATTTCTTATGAAGTTGCATAAGCAATGCTATTTATTAGGAAAATGTTAATTACGTGTTTATTCTGTCTAGGATTCATGACAGTTTGCTTTCAATTATTGTAGACAGGGTCATTGTAGTTAACTACTGAAATCAAATTAAATATATATATAAAGACGTATTTTGTTTTAGCTAGTGGCAAGGCAACATTTATTATTTACTTGATGTACTAAAATAACTCACAAACAAAAACTGGAATTAAAATTGATATAAACTATTTAATATAAATAGACATTACAAATAATAGAAATAAAATGACAAAATCCAACAAAAATACTAAAAATGTAACTAAAATTAAAATGGAAAATGTAAAAATAAAAACTAATTAAATATTAATAAAACCTACAGTAGTATCTCAATTACACTAAAAAACACAGCTCTTAAAATAAGCAGATGGGCATTTGCCAGTCCTGTGCGCACCCGCCTCTCTCATGTGTTGTTGGTTACTAAGCAACTTACGCGAGCCACATAAGCTGCGTCATTTCCTGTGTAGGGACGCGTTGGAGCAAGCCGTTCAGTCGATCACCTCCGACAGGTAGACGACGAAGACAGTCGATCTCCGTGCCGTTTTACTTTGTCTGTGGAATACACCTGGCGCACTTTCCAAAGGACTAAAGCATTCTGATTTTTGAGCGTGCCAAAAGAAAAGAACTTTGCGTTTTAGTTTGGGTGCCATAACCTCCAAATACGGGACGAGTGGATTAGAACTAAACGCTGAATCGGTGCTCTACTTTAAAAACTAATCAACAGGAACGCAATGTGATTATGGTGGTTGTAAAGCTTTGGATTTCTGGGCAAAGATCCTAAACTCCCTCATAAGGGATTCACTGCTGATGACAGAGATATTGGAGAAGACGCACTGGCCACTTGACTCTTTTTCGCGAGCACAAGACGCACCGAGCGCGCAAGCTTTCTGTCGGTGTTATTTGGAAGGTGCACTTTCCTGTCTAAAATCGGACTTTTTATTTACGTTTTTTTACGTTCTCTCTTAAGTTCTGGCTATCACAGTTGTCGGTTTTTCCAGCTAAATTCTGCATTTCATATTTCTATAAATTTAAAATTCTATGATGATGGGATGGGATTTTAATGACTGTATTATTAAATTCATAATCGTATGTTATTAAATCATGTAGTGTTAATATTCCAACCTATCTTAAGCTATTCCATCTGTTTGTCACTGTAAACTATCGATGTAATACTTATAATATACCTGGTACCATCGAATGTTGATTTAAGTAAAATTCATACATGCATACAGTTTCATAACAGTGACAGATCACAGTGTTATCCATCCAGGTACACATGACGTTAAATTAATGCAGCAGACATTAACTACACAACGTAAAACTGTTCTGTAGCATGTGAAATTGAAATTATTACATTTTATTTTATTTATTTTTATTTTTACAGTGTGCCTGAAGTGTTTATTTCAATTCCAAACTTATTTATTTATTTATTTTTTGTTTAAGGATACTAGCCTAATTAGATGTATGTGTTTGGTTTTGTAGGTCCTCTGTGACCCGTTTGGTGTAATATTAATTATGACAGTGAACATCAAGGCATCACAGTGCCATGAGCCGCTCCGCAGACTCCTGTAGACTCGGTTCCGGTGCTACTGCAATGCTCGCCGGACCCCTCCGCTTCTGCGTGGTTCTGTGATCCAGGCAAAGGGCGCGAGGATGAGCACAGACCTGGAGCGCCTGTCGCTTAACTCTTCCTCGGGAAACTCTGTGGCGTCTAGCGCGCATTCCCTTTCCGCCAATGTGAAGAAGCTTCACAACGCGCTCAACCTGCTGCTCAGCGACCTCGAGAGAGAGCAGTTCATCCACTGCCTCAACGTGTACCACTCCAAGCGCAATGTGTACGATCTGGTCCAGACGCTTAAAGTCATACTGAACGTCCCGAGCAAGCGTCAGCTCCTGCCCATGCTGCGGCTGGTTATCCCGCGCTCGGATCAGCTTCTGTTCGATCAGTACACATCAGAGGGGCTGTACTTGAAATCCGACGTTCTTGCGCGCAATGGTGACCCAGACGGCTCCCACGAGGCTGCTAATTCGAGTCCAACACACGGGGCTCACTTCTCGGCTCCTTCCGCGTCTCAAACCGCTCTGCGCGGGTCTCCTGATAACATCAGCATCAGCAGCGATGGGACAGCGACTCTTATTCCTTTACTGGGAAGAAATTTCTTACCGGAGCCGCCAGGAGAGATCCGACAGGTGACCCTCAAGCGTCACAAGAGCAACGAGGGTTTGGGATTTAGTATCCGCGGAGGATCCGAGCATGGAGTTGGGATCTATGTGTCACTGGTGGAACCGGGATCACTGGCTGAAAAGGAGGGTTTGAGAATAGGAGATCAGATAATGAAAGTTAATGACAAAGTGTTCGACCGGGTCACGCACGCAGAGGCAGTTAAGGTAAGTTTTTTTTTATTAATATTTTTTATGTGACCATTTAATTTATTTACTTATTCCGTGACTGATTCAACATGTTGTTGTTGATATTATGGGAAACTGTTTTTCTGTCTTTCCTTTTTTGGAAAAAAAAAAAAAATTACTTATGCACCCAAAGATTTCATAACCATATTTAGATTCTGGCCAGTCATTTGACCACAGTGAACAGACTGCACTCCTCCTTCTTGATTGATTATTAATGCAAGACAAGCAGCTGAAAGTGTCCCTTGAAGGACTAGAATGATAAATACTCTCTTTTATTGAGATGTGTTAGCCAGGAAGGCCTGTGTAAATGTTGATGTTATTGATCAGTGTATATTTATTAGCTATAATTAAATGATGCAGGTGGCTTGTCGATTTTGTATTAATAACACTTGTCACATGAAGCTTTCTAGACATACTGAGTATTTCAGTGTTTCATTGTGCTGTTTTCATTCAAAAGAAGAGCTGATTTTGCCTAATACTTCACATACTTATGACTACTATGACTAGTACTGTAATCATAATTTATAGGAAGTAGTTGCAGCATTTTGGGCCTCACATACCTTACTGAGATTGTATGCGCTGTCCATGGTGCTGAATCCAGCTATTTGGTATAGATTGCATTCTGTTCTGAGTTTTTTTCCCCATCAATCTTACTGTTTGTCAGTTGTAGTAAGATCACCGATCTTCACATGCCACAGACACTGGTGAACCGCTTAGGAGAAACTCTAGGTGCCACTTCTAAAAGGGCAGTTCTCTGAAGAACCCATTATTTTCTACTAGAAATCTAAACATTGCCAATAATAATAATGAAAAATTTTTGATGCACTTGAAATGCATATTGAAGTTCCTTAAGTGCACTTTGAGGCATCTTCAAAAACTGCTTAGACTTTCTCTAAAGGCTTCCACCAGTGTGGCAACACTTGGAAACCTCAAATGAGGCCTTAATTTTATAATTTTACAGTGATCATATTTTTAACGACATTACAAAACATGAAAGCGTCTGAAAGTGAAGATAAGGCACATCCCAAGCATATTTCAAAGTACTGGCATATAGCTAGAAGCTCCATTCCACTGATACTGCTTGTTTGACTCTCTCATATGCCCGTGTTTGGGAATCTCTGTAGAGTTGTTTGCCGAGAGAAAATTAACATGAACAGTTTGTCGCCTTTCTGTATCATTGTTTCCCTCCTTCACCAAGGGAAAACTGGCACAATTGAGCAGCAGGGTGTAAATTCCTGCCACGCTGCCTTTCTTAAACAGCAGCTGGCAGAGGAGGGGGAGGCTGCTTCCTCCCAGTTAATCGTATTGATCTGCATGAGTAAATGGACGAGCCTCTCCCCCAGGCTTAACATGACCTTGACATGACTTGTCTTGATGCTCTTCTTCTCGTGTAATGCAGACATAGCCTGGGTAAAGAAAGACACAAGAAATATCTGAGCAGCCAGAATGGAGAGAGATAGACGGGGGTTTTGCTAGGTGCAGACAATTTCAGCACAGTGTACGTTTGATCGGTGCCTTCATATGCTCCCTGAATGCTAGCAGGCAGAGTTATCGCTCATTTTTCTAGCAGAAGGAAGAACATCTATTTTAACTACAGTGAGGATTTCCTCTGGGCTCTGTTGACCTTTGTGATGTGTAAATGAACCCTGAACGTTATCTGTTTTGCTTTTTTTGCTTTTTCTTTCTTGGATTATTTTGGTGTTTCTTTAAGTTTTCCAGACATAAACACCAAAATAATACACCTTTTTTAGAAGTTGTGACCACTTTACACGTTCACATGCAGCTAAAATTCTAGTTGGTGGAACTCGTGGTAGAAGTAACACAGTACCTGTGTCGGTATTTGCATACTCTCTTCATTTGGTGCTTCTCTTGAATAAGTAATTGCTCTGTGACCAATAAAAAGGTTCTTTATAGTATGATTGTAGTCCAGACATACGGCATTCATCATGTTGTCATGGTCATATGACCTACCAGCGTCAGTTGGAATGCCATTCATAAATCCTCTCCCGTGGCCTCATGGGATAGTGAAGTATCCACTAAATGTGCACTTAAGAATCTTGCCAGAAGTAGTTGGTTACTCTGGTTAATCTTTGCCTAGTGTTTACTTATGAAGTTCATACTACCATTCATATAAAACACCCGCGCCGTGTTATGATTTTGAAAGGTGCAGTGCTCATGTTTATTCAACGAAGTCAAACGGCACAAATAAATCAATGTATGGGAAACTGGTAATGTATATCGAAATATCGGAAATGTGTTTAAAAATCATATCACCGTTATTGAAAAAAATTATATCGCGATACATATTGATATTTAATTATTGTCCAGCCCTACTCTATATGAACACACTGCTCCTTTATATACTTTTTTTGCCCACATTGCCCTTTAAAAATAAAGGTTCTTTATTGGCATCAGTGGTTCCATGATGAACCTTTAACCTCCATGGAGCCTTTACACAAAAATTTCTTTATAGTGGAAATCTTTCGATTTTTAAAATGTTCTTCACATTAAGAAAAAAAGTAAGAACTGTTATGAACAGTTCACTTAATGGTTCTTTGGGGAGCACAAAATTGTTCTACTATTGTGAATCCCCCATATGGAACCTTTATTTTTAAGAATATATGTATACTGTACTAGTAATATGCATGTTTAGATGCAGCCACTGTTCTAACCTGTTGTCTGTCCATACATGAAAACAAAAGAGCTGTGAGATTCGGCATAATCACAGCCAATCAGAACTAATTGGAGCAAAATTTTGGACCAATGAGATTTCAGAATGGGTGGAGATATCCATTCCAGTGCAGAAATCAAAACAAAGGAAACAACAGCCGTTTTGTTGCTTTTTGTGTCTGGTTAGAATAAAAAAATCAGGTTGCTGTAACATGTTGTGTCTGGTAAGGAGGTTTGCCAGTTGAGGTTTGTGTACATGATGTTTTGGTATGAGGGCAGAGGAAGAAGTACTCTTGCAGGTGGTTGATATCATTATTTCTCTGCCTGTGTCTTCTAAACTCTTCTTGTTTGTATGTCTAGTTGTCTGTCTGACCAGCTGTCTCCATCTCTCTCTGAGTCTCCAAACTGATGAGGATGGATTGTACATGCTGTAGGTGACCTGTCCGTACCATCTTTATAGGCCATAATGAATACGTGTGATGCCCTTTGGCATCTCATGATTGGTTGGTCTATCCGCATGGCCTTCAGTGTTTGTTCACAGGGCTGCTGTGGTAGCCCATATGATCAATGATCTTTCCTCATCTCCTGCTTCAAGGGTGACCCCATATAAGAGCACCTGTTAAGTCGAGTTGATTGAATTTTAATGCTGGGACTGCCAGGGTGCCTGTGGCTCAAACTTAGAGGAGGTTGCCTCTTGCCTTTGTCCTGACACTGAGAGATGATTAAGACAGAAGTGTTTACAGTCAAATGTGGCTTTGCAATCTCAGTTAGAGCCAGGCTAGAAGATTCATCACTAGACCAATGCCTCTAACCGTACGTGTCCACTTGTGCTGAGCTGAGCGAGCATTTTATGTGAGGTGAACAGCAAGTTCGTTTAGGCCTTTGAGATATTGACTGCAGAACAGTACATTTAGTGATAGAATCAAAAAGTTGAGAAATACTGAATGTTATGCAAATGAAAGCCGGCGAAAAACGGTGAATGGTCGTCACTGTGAGAAGAAGGCAGTGACATCTATCATAAGGTTTATTTATTTTTCTATTTTTTTATTCTGCCATTAGTGCTAGAGAGTGCTTAAATCACATTATTGCATTATTGCATTTGACATCTTTAAATGAGATGTCAAATGCTGTTTGCGTGCTTTCATTGTGTCTACGTAAAAAAAAAAGTGAATTAAATTGACACCACGTGTATACTTAAGTCACACTTAAAGAGATAGTCCACTCAAAAATGAAAATTGTCAGAATTTACTCACCCTCATGTTGTTCCAAACCTGTATGAGTTTCTTCTGTGGAACACAAAAGATGTTTGAAGAATGTTGTTTACCAAACAGTTTAGTGACGTCCATTATTTCTGTCCCTACAATGGAAGTTCTTGGGTGGACTATCCATTTAAAAATGTCTGAATTTCATTGCGTTAGATACAAAATATCAAACCAAGTGGCATCTGTAATCAAATTATGCTAGAGCTTTTCTCAGAACTAACTTCACTTTTCTGAGACACCTTTAGAATGATTTTTAACCAACTGGTCTTGATGTCATTTTTATTGGGTTTATGAAGTCAGTTCCCTTAGCAGAATAACCAGTAGTGTAGTTCATAATATTAATATAGAGTATAAACAAGATTTTTTTTGTCTTCATTTTGAACAATGTGATCTCTTAACTGTTAAAGGTGCTTGTGATATTTTTCTTTATATACTTGTTTTGATATTTTGTTAATTAATGCAAATACATTTATCACATTCATGGCTAAAGTGTCCAAATATGGAGCTGTCATGTTAATGCGTGTGAATGATCTAAAATGTTTAACACATTAATGTTTTAATCACGGTTAACACACACACACACACACACAAAGTAACATTTATGTAACGTCATGCTACCTAATGTGAACTTGTATTTTAGTGTTTCTGTTTTTATACTGTGGAAAGCTTTAAATGGAAAATGTCGAACATAATCATTACATATTATTTTGCTTTCTTTCCTTAAGAAGGAACTAAAAACTTTCTGACAAGAAAAGTATATAGAGACTCGTATTCAGCACAGCAGTACTTTACAGGCACACTGCTTGCATTTTGTCATGTATTGAACGGGTTTTCTACACACATAGGATATATTCTCTTATTCACTGGCTTTTCTTCATTAAGTAACATTTAAAGCTGCATATCAGTGTTTCTTCATATCATTTCTTTTCTCAGCCTCTCTGCTAATTCTCTCAGATTAGGCGGCACTTTTTTTTAGTCCGTGCTCACATGATCTCTTGTACATGGGCTTAGAGCAGGTGACTGACTGTCTCTTGTATTCTTCATCAT